CCTCTGGGTCCGTCCCCAGACGGTGGGCTGCAGCAGCCCGGTCTCTCAGCGGTATATACCACGAGGACTGTCCCTCTGGGTCCGTCCCCAGACGGTGGGCGGCAGCAGCCCGGTCTCTCAGCTCGGCCACCCGGCCCGTCGGTACCGACGGTCAGCGAGCTGTGCGTCCGTCGGCTCCGACGAGCGGTCTTACCGACGGGGGACGGAGCGGAGCTCCACCAGCCGAGGGCGAGCTGTGGCCAGTCCGATATATATGTTGCAGGCACTTTAGAAAATCAGTCATTTTGTAAAATGCCTAGGCATTTTGCAAAATGCCTGATTTTCCAGGCTTTTTGCAAAAAGCCTAGGCATTTTACAAAATGACTGACTCTCCAGTCATTTTGCAAAATGCCTAGGCATTTTACAAAATACCTAGCCATTTTACAAAATGACTGAGCAGCGTGTTGTAGATACGAGTACCTAATTATATACGTTTTGGTAGCGTGTAGGTGGACCGAGGAGTCCAGCATTATGACCAGAGAAGTCCAGCAGTGGGAAGTCCATACTACCTCAATTTTGAGAAGTGCAGGCCCGCGACATTTCCAACCCCCAGGCCCCACGTCAGCGACGCTGCTGGATTTAAAATGATCGATCTGGAGCGTCAACAACCGACTGGCTCTATGCCGGCCCGTATCTGTAAAACTATTAGAGGTCGCGAGGATTCGATCCCACACACTTAGGCGTCTCCGGCGTGTCGATGTCCCCGACGGCACAGTCAGCGTGGCGTGCGACAGGCCGCGCGTCTCGCGTCAGGGGGCACCGGCCAGGGATTTTTGAAGTGCTCATGCAGGAAGATGTGCACAGCACACTGTACGTGCAGGAAGCATGGCCTAACGTGCAGCAGCCGGTGCCATCGCAGTACGCACTGCAATAATAAATAGAACTGACAGCGACGATGTTTCTTAACCCTCGCCCGTAAACGGCGATCTGCCACCTTCGCCCATGCAGGGGGGGGGGGTTGGTGCGACCCCCCCCCTTGGCGTTTGAAAACGGAGCGTCGTAGAGCTTAGCGGAAAAGACCAACGGATTGCTCTCGCCGAGATCTCGCGATTGGTGGTATATTTTTTGGTCCTAGGTCAACATTTGACCTACTTTTGACCGGTCAAAGGTCAAATTTTCGGAAAAATAGACTTTTTCAAATTTTCCGCGGCGATTGCGGCAAAACGGTGGGAGATATCGACTTGAAACCTTCACTATCGTGTTCCTTGATCAATTCTCTATCGTTTGGTATGTATTTCGTTTCCCTAGCTCTAAAAATGGCGCGTTGGGAGCGCCGGAAGTCGGCAAGGTCACAGTCGGCGGCAGAAATTCGAAAAATCAAAATTTAAATTTTTGAAATCTGATTGTATTTTTGGATTTGGGATGTCCATTTGCTCCCTATAGAAGCTAATATTGCTGCATATTCCCATTGAGGTGACAAGAATTAGCAAAATAGTGGTTCGGGCGCTTTTCAAAAATAGTACCGGACGCTGTTCCTCTTGTGACGTCATAGCTCCGTGACCTGACCTGACCCGGTCAAGTTTCTTATACCACATGATAGCCAATACTTGCCCCAACATGCATGGGAAGTTTCATCACGATCCATCAACCGATGTCCGTACCACCGGCAGGAAACCTCGGGCGTTGGCACTCAGTTTGTGAAAATCCGGCCGGAGGCTGTTCCCTTTGTGACGTCATAACTCCGTGACCTGACATGACCCGGTCAAATTTTTTTCATCAAAAGATGCGCAAGGTTTGCCCCATAAGGTACCCAAAATTTGGCGGCGCTGCGCGCCGCCGTTTTTGCACTATTTCCGAAAAACCTCAGGGGGGGGGTTGCACCAACCCCCCCCCTACATGGGCGAGGGTTAACACGCGCAGTGGAAGGGTTGCGAGTACTACGCCCAGTGGAAGGGGGGAGGGGCGGATGTGAGAAAAACGAAATGTCTGACTCTTCTAATCTGAAATTTGGAGGGTAGGTGAAGGCCCTGGAAAATTTTGTTGTGTGTGAATTTCATGACCATTGGTCAATATCTTCAAGGTCAAATGAGGTCAAATGTGGTCAAATCTGCCATATGAGCGACTTTTTTGCGTTTACACGCCGATAACTCCAAAAGTTACCGGCCGATTTTCTTTTTTCTTTCACTATACGAAAGAACAAACATTTTTGAGTATGTATGGTGAATTTCTAGATAATCCAACAATAAATATGGCAGTTAGAAGCCTGCTAAGGGTAAGATATCGCCGGCTGAAGCGGGATCGGCCGACGCGGGAAACGCGGCAATCACAATTTTGTGTTTACACACTCATAACTCAAATTGTTACCGGCCGATTTTCAAAATTCTTTGACCATATGATTGCCTGTACATTTCTCAGTCTTCTCACCGAATTTGACGCGAATCTAATATAATCAGCGGTAAGGAGCGCGATGTAAAGACGGAACCGTCCCGCCCCCGCACAGTCTACAATTCAGGCGGCGCGTAACGGCTAGCGCCGGCCGCCGCACCGCCGCGGCGCCAGGATGTTTGACTTTACACCGCTATTACTAGAAAAGTTGTGAGCCGATTTTCTTATTTCTTGCACGAGAAGATCCGCAATTCAATTCTGGACAGGTAGCCGAAATTTCACATTAATATTATGTTTGCGGCGCGAGTTATTGGCGAAAAACAGGATGGGTAGGCGAAATCCGCCCCCCCCCCCTCCCACTGCGCGTGTTAAAATGCGAGGATGAGAGAGAAGGAGTGGGAAATTATAATTAAATTCGAACGTGTTTTTAATGTCCAAATACATAATGCAGTTTTGTCCGTAATGGCACAATCAAACAAAGACTACACTCATTCGTTTACATGTAATTGTACATCAACCGGGCCTGCCTATTGACTAGGGCCGGTCTCCGGCTGGTTTTGTTAGGTGTAGTTTCAGGCAGAACATGAACGGCGTTGATGTACTTCGGAGTTTTTACAGCGTTAACTAAACAATGCTTTATGCTACAGCCGAGTCTGCAACTCAACCTGGTCGTTACTCAGCATTGTCGTCATCACAGAGCTTCAAATCGATCAGCTACAGGCTGAACACGTACCTATAGGGTATAGAAAGACGTCCAAAAACTGTTGGCCATAGTATCTGTAGTGGGATCTACGTTCCATGCTGGTCAGGCATTTTGCAAAATGCCTAGTCATTTTGTAAAATGGCTAGCCATTTTGAAAAAAGCCTGGTTGCGTTCAGTCATTTTTCAAACAGCCGTCTTTTTGTAAAATGCCTAGGCATTTTACAAAATGACTGATTTTCTAAAGTGCCTGCAACATATATACCGAGACCCCAGGGGGAGCGGGTCGGACAGCTGAGAGCCGTCACTGCCACGGCCGGCCAGCTGGGACTGACAGCTGGGGCCGCTAGCGGCTAGCGGCCCCAGCTGCCCGACGGCCGCTCACCGACCTTTGCCACGGCTGTCACCACTAGGAGGGACGGGCCAGTCGTCGATAACCAGCGGCTGTACCCGCCCACCGAGCAGAGGTCTCACTGCCGGCACTCGAGGCACTCGGGGGGACCTCACCGACTACCGGGGACTCCTCGACACTCATGGTCACTACCAGGACTCCGTTGACTCTGGATGACTCCTCATGACTCTGTATGACTCAGTAGACTCGTCGTGAGTCAATGTCGGTACGGGCCGGAGCTGTAACAAACAACAAACACAACGTAGTCACAACAAACACACAACAAACACCACAGATGATATGTGTGATACACACACTACACAGCACACGGAGTCGCCATAAATAGCAAACAACATCGGCGTGACAAACCACACACTGGTTTATCGTCAATATATACTGCACCACGGTCCACTGTGCACTGTCCATTACTTATCACTGTACCGGTCATCTGACACTGTGTGTGTAGTAGACACCACCAGAAGAGGGGGGGACCCACCTGTGAGGTCTGGGTAGAGCAACAGGAGCAGCGGGCAGAGGAGGGGAGCACAGAGCCGCAGACAGAGCACGTCAGCGACACTAGCGCCGCCTACCAGTCTGGTCCGGAACCTGTGGTTACCGAGTACACCGCATGGAGAGGAGAATAGGACGAGAGGTTAGTGATCTCCTGAATACCACCCCCACTGGCGGATACAGTCGCCACCACGACCAAGATGATGCTGTCGGAGAGCCCGTGCGTCCTCTTGACACTGCAGCAGAGCCGACACCTGACCACGTCGTCATTAGAAGCGGAAACACCGGTACAGGTGACGTCACATGTCAGGTTCCTGCAACACACTCAAATCTGGTGAATACTACAGTGCAATACTTACGTGTGGCTCTGTGTGGCTATTAGCATGACCCGCAATCCGCCACGTGGAGGCTGCCACATCGGACTGCGTCTCTGTTATCGCCCGAGACCCCTCAGGTGGTGCAGAGCCCACCATGTCCTGAGGGAAGACACGGCAGCCATCCGGCCCCGAGCATCACATCCCGGTGTGTGCTGCTCGTAGACGGACTGCCACCGGGTGACAGACGGCCACCCACCACACGGCGGACGGACTGCCACCGGGTGACAGACGGCTACCCACCAGACGGCCGACGGACTGCCACCGGGTGACAGACAGCTACCCACCAGACGGTAGACGGACTGCCACCGGGTGACAGACGGCTACCCAGCACACGGCGGACGGACTGCCACTGGGTGACAGACGGCTACCCACCGTAGACGGACTGCCACCGGGTGACAGACAGCTACCCACCAGACGGCCGACGGACTGCCACCGGGTGACAGACGGCTACCCAGCACACGGCGGACGGACTGCCACTGGGTGACAGACGGCTACCCACCGTAGACGGACTGCCACTGGGTGACAGACGGCCACCCACCAGACGGCGGACGGACTGCCACCGGGTGACAGACGGCTACCCACCAGACGGACTGCCACCGGGTGACAGACGGCCACCCACCAGACGGCGGACGGCAGCCGGTTGTCGAGAACTCGACTGGCTCCGGACGGCCGGACCGGGTGACCGTGGGGGCTGAAAGGATACCCAGCAGTCAGCTGACACGGCTGTATAACCACTGAGCGGCTGTCCCCGGGCTCTGGTCACCGTTATGGAGACAGCTGGCCTCACGGGGATCTGGTGACGCTAACAGCGGAAGGAAACGCGTCATCCCGGGGGCTGGTAATGCAATAATTATGGGTCTGGTGTCATTTGTGAATGCTGCTAACTACAAATCGCCTAGTATCAAGTATATTCACAAACGTTGGAACATAAACAGGCATGCATCATGCAAAAATCGCCCACCAAACTAACCTGTCTCGGGAGGCTTCTCATCCTGTGACGGGCGAGTGTGCGGCAGCTGAAATGCCGGACTGCCGGATTGGCTCCGGCGGTCGACGGCTCAGCTGCGCCAGAGCCGCACACCCGCCTCCGTCAACCTGCCGGTGTAGTAGGGGAAGTTGGGGCAATGCCGGAGTTGGGGCAAAGCCGAAATTCGAGATATTTCGAAAACCGTAAGACATGGATGCCACCTGTCAGTGATGCTCTGAAGCTTAAGTGACTACAATTATCGCATGTTTGTTACGAGTCGTCATTCGGAATACTTCGACTGTTACGGCGCCAAGAGCGTTTTCAAGGTACGTTTCCCTTGTACTACATGCGCCTTTGAAGCTGCATTTCTTACTCATTATGCTACCGTTTGTCTGGCCAATTCGGTCAAGTAATCTTTAGCATGTCTTTGCATAAGTGTGCTGCCTATTTGAAATTTATACAGCACGTTGAAAAGTTATGGGCCTGCAAATGAAAGTATGGCAGGCTGGGGTAATGCCGAAAACGTGCGATTACGCACGTGTTAAAAGCACGCTACGTGGACTTTACTGCTGTAGAATAGCAACGCGTATTTTTAGTCACACAAATTACACTTTCAACCGACACAACGGCCTGTTACCTATAAGGAATGATTTACCTGGCATGTTCTTATTATATCACACAATTATAACTTCCAGTGTGCACCGCGTCCTCAAGCTCTTAAAACGCGTGTCAGCTTTGATCAATTCTGGATAAAGTTTGAGATAAAATGGCAAAACATCAATGTCGGCATTCCCCGTAGATCATTTCTCCCATTTTCGGCTTTCCCCGCAGTCCGGGCAACGCCGAAAAAGTCACTTCTTTGATATTTTTAGTTTGTGCGCTTAACGGTATGCGAATTCATCAAATGCGCCTGGTATGTTTGAAAGGCAAAAGACTGGCCTCTCGAATGACGCCAACAAGAATAGCTTATGTTGTCTACCTTGCGTGCTACGGGCGTCAGAAAAAAAGTCTTCGGCGTTCCCCCAACTTCCCCTAAATGGACAGGTGATCATTCCAGATGATTTATGTATGACGTTACATGTATGTTACTAGTTTTACTTTGATTAGCACCATACACTACTGTATTACTATTACTACTAGCTACTGTAATTCTGACAATTGCATTATTGACATAGAGTAGTCTATGTTAGCATATATAACAAAGAAGGACTTTATATATAAAAATACACGGGGACGGGACACGGAAACGGAACACAGGTCATTGACCCCGGAAAATATGTGTATATCATAAGCAGATTCCGCTGGTGAACTCACGCCCGCTGGTGGTGGGCTTGGTCCTGAGGCCGGCGGTGCTGGTGGCGGTGCTGCCAATGCTGGCAGGGGATCTGAAAGACGATATATGCATTACCAGCACCTAGACAATTGACTTGTGTTTAGTGGTAGCTTATTTACGTGCACTAAAGTCGCATACGTCAGAGCATTGTAATTCGTCACTTTTTACAAATGTATTTTATGAATCAATTTTCTACAGCACGTATACTCGATATTCTCCTCAATATTCTATATCCCTCGCCCGCACATGCCATTTTCCCATCCTAGAACGCACATGGGGGGGGGGGGTGGTTGCCACCCCCCCCCCGCGCCATTTCGTTCCTGTTGGAGATAGAGCTTAGCGGTAAAGACCAAAAAGATTTTTTGGGAAGAGACGAATCCAATGATACCCAGTTTTACCTTCTTAGGTCAGTCATTGACCTTCCAGGTCAGGTCAAACTAAAAAATGTTGCTGTTTTGGGTCACCGTTGGATATCAAGTGCGCTGCTTATCATATACCGATGACGATGCCGTTTTCTGGTGCCAAGCCAGCTAGAACCTCTTTCTCACACTACCCGACCAGGTTTTTGCTGCTGAGGTCATTTCAGGTCAAGTTAGGTCACGGTCAATTATATGTGTTTGTATGTCTGTGTGTGTCTGTGTGTATACTGATGTGTGCACCGATTGTTTATGTGACCATATTACATGAAATCATGATCTGAGAAGCTTTTACCAAAAATGCAGTCAAAAAACTTCACAAAAAGTAAATTCCGCTTGCCTAAAACGCAATTATCTTAGATGACCTAGGTTGACCTTGACCTTGACCTTGACATCTGTACATCGTCGAACAACATGTTCCATGATAGGTGGGAGGTAAGACTGGTAAAAAAGGCCGAAATCAAGGTGTCAAAAGCTCACAAGGCCCATAGCCAACGCAAGATGTCGAGAATTGGCCATTTGGGTCATGACATGACCTGAAAAACAAGGTCATATCTCCGAAACCAAAGGTCACAGAAACTTGAAATTTTCAGTGGACATCAAGAAAGGATAGAGAAGCAGCTATACGAAAAATCAGCCTTCTAGCTCTAAAAATGTTGAGTGCAGAGCAGAAAGACTACCTGGGGGGGGGGGGTGGCAACCACCCCCCCCCCCCATGTGCGGGCGAGGGATATACGACTGGATACTCGATAGTCGATATGCAGAAGAATAAAGCATGTGCCAAACGTCATGCTCAAAGTTCTTCAATGAAATTATTGCCTCAAAATGGAGTAAAACTCCACTTGTGCTATCACAACATTCAGGAAATCGTTCTCCAATTTCACATTTGACTCTTACCACCCGAAGAGCGATGCCGGGACTGTCACCTTCTCAGCTACACCTGAAATGAGATAACTAATGAATAAATGTTTTCATTAGAGATCTATAAATTGGTGGATATGATTGAGAAATGGTATGATCAACAGCTTGCTTGTTATCAAGTATAGCTACCAAGTGAATTCCAAAGCATCAATTCCCTTTCCCCCCAAAAAAGTCCCCCAAACTAACCTGTCTCGGGAGGCCTCTGATCCTGTGACGGGCGAGTGTGCGGCACGTTAGGCGGCACGGGCGGACATCGATAGCAGCGCCTCTATCGGTCACTAGGGAAAGCTGGGCTGTAGGTAGGCGACGATATACCGGCTGAGTTGTCACACGTTGAATAGGTTAATAGCCATCCGTCTTGTGAAAAAGTTGAACTTTTGCCTTTAATATTTCTACTGGCAATTTTAGAAGTGTCTTCTCATGGATTACAAAACCGTTTAGATTATTGTATTCACTTCAAGCCTTCCCTATTGTTCTTGATGATGCGGGAACTATTTCTAATTAGTGTTTCTAGCTTAGTAAAAGAACATACTGTGCAAACGATGAAAAAAGCATAAATGGAAGATTTTAAATGCAATTTTCTCTAACAATTAATGGTAAATTCTCCACATATCAAGGAAAAGGTGCATGCTATTTGATAATTTAAAGTTCTTGGGGCCAGTTGTTTTCTTCTTTTCTTACGTCGCCCCAATGGCCGCGAATACACTTGTGATAACGCCTATCGAGCTGAAATGCCGGACTGCCGGATTGGCTCCGGCGGTCGACGGCTCAGCTGCGCCAGAGCCGCACACCCGCCTCCGTCAATCTGCCGGTGCAGTAAATGGACAGGTGATTATTCCAGATAACCTATGAATGTTGTTTTAGATTCATGTAGTCAAAATTATTTAGAATAAACGTAAGGTGGGCACGTAAGGTAAAGCACAACACTGAAACGGGACACAGAAACATGACACGGAAACGGGACACGGGAACAGGACATGGAACGGGGCACGGAACACGGGACACGGAAACAGATATAAAACAGGACACCGGAGTGGAACACGGGAACGGAGCACGGAAACGGGACACGATAACCGGACAATTTGCAAAAATCAATAAGCAGATTCAGCTGGTGAACTCACGCCCGCTGGTGGTGGGCTTGGTCCTGAGGCCGGCGGTGCTTGGGGTGGTGCTGCCAATACTGACAGGGGATCTGAAATATAATAGATGTATATCTAGCATCTAGATAATTGATTTGTGTTTAGGAAGTTTGGTAACAGCCAAGATTCTTTCAAAAAGTCGCATTCATCCATGCACTTTGTTAACGCTTACAAAGATGTGTCATCAGTAAGCTGTAGAACGTCTATTCGATATCCTCGATATCCAACTCGACATCCTATATCCAATCCAGAAGAGTAAAGGTTAACCCGCGCCCCGTTGGGCTGTGCCGAGCAACGCGCCCTGTTGGGGGGGGGGGGCATTTTGCCCCCCCCCCCTAAGATCTCGAGAACCACGCAACCTAGCGACAAGCGGAAAACGGTGTTGGATAGCTCTATCAGGGAACTACCTTGTGACCCAATTTTATTGACCTAGGTCAAACCGATGACGTCACAGGTCAGGTCAAAGGTCCAATTTTCACCGTTTACAGGCATTTCAAGAAATGCGTTGTAAAATCGAGTAAAATGCATTTCATTGAAAATCATCGATGGGGAAATGTTCTTCAAACACATCTAACTTACTATTCCAACAGAATCCGTCTGTCTGTGAGTCTGTGTGTCCGCACATCGTGTAGTGGGTTCAATTTGTTACGGCTACAGGGCAGACGGTACGACGTAGGGGGCTGAAATTTGCACACCTTATAGGTGACAGAACGGGTCAGCGCCTTTTCTAGGTTCCGACTCGCTGGGGTGCACGGTTCGCGCGTGAGGCGCGCCGGAAGGACACCAATGAAATTTTGATCGTTTCGTAGATCTTCATTGAGAGCCGGGGTCGACAAACTTTGTGAGCTAAATGCATGCCGATCGGTGGCGGGTGCCTCGCATTGGCGGATGGGCAGGTTTTTAATTTGAATAAAA